AAGAAGTGGCATTAGTTAAATGTTGCTTGTGAATTAAAGGGCAAAGGAGTATGAGACTAAAGAAACTACACAGACATGAACATGGTTTGTGATGGCTGCTTCATGTCTGTTCTCTGAGACAAAATGCCAGGCCTCTTTCTACTCGCTGTCTGTAGCTGCTCTGTTAGTGTGACACACTGGGAGGATACACTTTACATACACAGCCTGAAGTCCCTGAAATTACAGTGCCTCATCACAAACATTCACTTGAAACATCTTCCAAGTGGCTATGTCACCACATATCAACCCACAGTACAACATCCAGAGTGCCATTCTGGTACACCAGAGAACCAACGTCCAGTGAGCAGCCAAAAATGTTTTGTACATTTTTTTTTACACACAAAAATTTATGTTTTGCCAGGTTATAAAGGCTTAACTCCCAACAGGACTTTGTATCAAGGTGTTTCTCAGTATTCCCGGGGAGAAGGTATTGACAGAAAGGCAAGCTGAATATTCTACTTGCATTTTAAAAGGAAAATCTTCCCAAATTGCAGACTAAACAAGAAAAAACATGCAATGCAAAACCATCAGGACAAAGGAAATGAAGTTTATGAGAACAATTTATTCTTAACACAAGGAAGACTCCATATTATTTTATTTAATCTATTGCATTGAACCTGGGTCAGGTTTGAATGCATTCCAGCATCTTTGAACACTATTTTAGCATCTTCTGGTATTCCTCTATATGTGAGAGTAGGGATTGTATTAGTGGGGATAATAAATATGGAGGCACTATGATATGGACTTGCCAGAGAAGGACTTGGCAGAAGATGAGGAAAAAGGGGAATTTACTTTTTAAAATATTTTTATGGCCCCCACCTTTAGTATTTGCTTCTGAACACACATTATCACACTGCCAAAGAACCATGTTTTCATCAGAAATTAAGTCGAAGTGATTCCATTGGCAGCTGTCTGCCCACTTCACAAGCAAGTGTCCCTCTGGGATCTTTCATGCCTAATAAAATGTAGTCATCTTACTTTTAGTTTTGCATGTTGTTTTCAATGCTTTTTTTGGATTCTTCTGGTGAGTCTTTCAATTTATCTAGATGTCCTGAAATAAAACAAGGAATTATAAGGTCTGACTCCTGCTAAAGTGACAGGCTTGCTTTTAGCTCTCTTCCTTGCTTTGGAGTGCAAGGTGAGTCAAGACAGAAACATGGGGCAGCTTTGTTTACCTGCATATAACTGAGCCCATGCTGGTAGGGCTGGAACTAAGCTCATGGGTGCCCTTCCAAGTTCTGCTGAGGAATTACATGACATCTAAGGAATTGCATGACATACATGACATACTTGGTCAAGTAAGAAATTAGTGGCAGAAATAAGAAATGTATTTCTGAATGTAGGGCATGTACTCTGGGTATGAATTTCTCTTTGGAAATGATGCAAATATTTAACTTTTCTCACCTACAAGATAATGTCTTTCTTCTATTATCAATCAAGGCAAGGCTATTTTAATATCCATTTCTACATATCCCCCAATAAATTAAAAATCTAACTCTTTGTATGGCTCTTGCTATATCCTTTTTCTTAGCATTGCAATTCAAAACAAGTTTAGTACCTTCAAAGTAGCTGGAAAAGGGTATTTCAGTATAATATCAGGACTATGTCAGGAAGATAACTAGGGAAAGGCAGGCTAACTACAGCCAAAGAGATCCAGCTGTCTTAATCCCCATAAATCTCTGCCAGAGAAAGTGGAAAGAAAATATGTAAAATATCAAAATTGCATACGTCTCATGTTTAAATGTTTCCACAGAAGTCTAACCAAGCTTGAAAGTTAATCTTTAATTCGAAGAATAGGAAATACCAAGGAATCATTTACAAGGCCACAGGTCACTAGGGGGATACAGTAGTCTGACTTTGTAAATCATAAGCAAGTAATGTTAACTGAATCCTTAGTGGCTGTTATCTCATTTTCAAGGGTCTGTACATCTGTTACATATTTTTTAAATGCTGGTGGTGATCAAAACGATGTACGGAGGAACATGTGTAACCATGGGGACTAATAAGAGAATTTCTGTGGTCATGCTTAACAACATCCCAGAACTGAAGCTTCTGTAACCTGAAGGCAAAAGTTTTACATGCCATGACAGGCATTACATCACCTAATTCTAGTCTGCATTTAAAGTTACATTAAAAGTACTCCAAAGTCATTGCCTGCCCAAACATTCATCATGCAGAAATGAATGTGGGCATAAGGCTACTCCCTGAAAGAGGAGGTGAATCAATCATTATTCAGAATTCCTTTTCCAAAGCCATCAGACACTAAGCTGCACTTCCAGAAAGTTCCAGGATCAGGTTCAAGGTAGATGGGTAGACTCTACTGACAAAAGCTGAGGGTTAACAAAGGTCTGGTCAGACAGCAGGAAAGGGCAAGACTTCAAAGGCTGAGTTCACACAAGTTGTGTAGAGCTCCATGGTGAAATAATGCAATAGGGAGGTGGGGGGTGGGGGATAGCTGTGACGGGAAATATCTGAAGGTGATAAAAAATTGTTAAAATCACCTGAATTGAAGGCATCTGAAGAGGCTGAAAGTGGTAACCTTTCCCTAAACCATAGTCATTTTTGCTATTGCAGCTTTTGTGTGTCATACAAATGTCTTCCTCCCTCCAGGCTCTAAAATGGGAATGACACCTCACAGAGATGTCTTGGAGATTTAATTAGCTGTTATTTACCAACAATCCTGAGTAATGTAATACCATCTTACTTTATCAGGTTTGTTTCTGTAAAGCAAATTTTAAAAAATCTTTACTGTTAGGAAATTTAATGATTTGTTACCTAATATAGAGTTTGCAAATATCATTTAATATCTTCAGAAGTGACTGGGAAATGGGAGACCCCATTTTGATTTTCAGGGATTATCTGGAAAGCATGTGCAGTATGTGAGCTGTGAGAACCTCTCTCCATTCTTTTGCTATCTTGTATGAAAATGAGGAGTTTGTTGTCCAGATTACAGCCCTTAGAAGAGGCAGGCAGGGAAATGACTCTCCAATAGGTGTTGAATCACTTGTGGTTAAAAACAGAAGTCCCAGAGCACCGGCTCTAATTTGATTATGGTCAAAATCTGAATGTAACTCTAAACATCTGAGTTTTGAATAGCTTAAAATAACTTCCAGCTTGCAACAAAGTGACTGCTCTGAAACCAAATTACTCACCACCAATACCAGTCAGATTGCTTGTGTAAATTGTTATCCAGGCGCAAGCAATAAGAAGAAAATCTGAGCCTTTGCCTCTCATGTTACCCAAGCTGTATGAATGGACCCTTCTTCCTATAAACTCTCTTCCCTATATTTCCTATGGGATTTCGCTATCCTCACTGTGTCCTAGCAGGAATTTATGCACTGTGAACACTGGGCAGTTTAACTGAGTTGCTTGTGCTGGTTAGCTGTCCCAGTAAGGACCTTGGGGTGTTTACCCTCAGCATGGGCAGAGGGGGAAGAAGAGGGGCAGCTGCCTGCCCAAAAACTCTGGTCCAATGGACTAAAGACATCAGAAAGAACAGGCATCCTGAGACCACCTCCACTTCTGCCAGAGGTTTGCCCACAGCCTGTAAACTGGAATTTATTTTTTAACCTGACAGGTCTCCCCTATTGAGACTTTAAAGGCTTGCAAATGCTGCTAGTCTCTCATATGAAAACAAAGCAACTGGGGCTTGGCAAGGGGTGTAGAGGAGATTTATAAGGTATCTATCATGGCAAGAAACACCATCAACAACCTGTACAGCCAAATACTGTCCTACTTATTTCTTACAGATGAAAATTCAAGCAGTGCTTCTGAAATAACATCCTCGGCTGTTTCTATCTCCTGGCTTATAAAGTGACATTCCACAGAGTTTAAGCATGGCAAAGCAGCATGGGCCATTTGCTTGGAGAGCTATCATGTCCTGAGAACAAAAGATAAAAGAGATAAATAGCCAAATACAATATTGTACCTCAACAACCTAAAAGACAATCTCAAAACTGAATGGAAGAATGGAGAGCTTTTCTTTCTTGGTTTTCTTTTTTAAAGAACAAAGCTCAGCGATTTCCTTTAAAAAGCTATTCAACAAGCTCCCCTGAATCCTGTTGCAACTTAATGTGAAATGCATCTGTTTCCGTAAGAACAACTGTGGCAGCATTCATCCTTTGTATTCTGTCCTTTGTTGTTTTTTCCTATCTATTCCTGTAGATTTTTCCACTCTAGTACATGAAGCACAAAACAAGGACTGATAAAATTTTAGTTAGAGTATTTATTTATTTGTTTTATGCTGGAAATTCAGTTTGTTCCTGCTTGCTGCCTGAATCATGCCAAATTAAATTACTGTTCAAGGAATTTTTAAGGTAAAGAAACTGTCTTGATAATGTCCTGACATTTCTTGAATGCAGATTCTGTATCCAGCTACAGGTATTTATCTACACCTAACAGCAAAGATGGGTATAGCCTCTGCATGCATATATATACAGAGAATTTTCACTGTTACTGAGATCCAAACACACTGCAATGTATTCAGCCTGTGTATCCTAAATCAGTGCAACATTAGCTCACCAAGGCACCATTTTTCAGAACCTGTGCATGTATCTCTCTGTATAATATTTATCTAAAACACGACCAAGTTGATGGGTGAGACATTTTATCTGATGTACACTGTTTAACTTAATTCACATTCAGCAGACTGTGAGGTATATTAATTCTTAAAAAGAGGTACGTTTAGAAAACCTTAGACAAATGGAGACTAGGAAGAGCAAGATGTAACATGCTTTTATTAATGTCTTGCCTGTGAAGGAAGGTGACTGATTATTGGTATGCTCTGAACACAAATGCTGAATACCTTACTTTTAAACACGGGAATTTAAGTAAGTGTTAGCACCTTTAGCTCTTTTAACCTTCACCATCATCACCATTATGAACTTAAATAATGTATTGTTTAGCATGATAGTGTGGCTGATGTTTTTAATCTGTTTTCCCTCTCATTATCTCTTAATCAGGTAACAGACATTAAAGAAAAGTTAAAGCTCTCTAAAAAGTTCTGGTCAACATTACCCTATACAATCTGCAAGGATGAGCGAGTGACAGCCGGTCCATCAATCGAGGAGGACTGCTGGAATGGCCACACCAAGGCCAGGTGAGGTGGACCCCTCTCCACCACACTCAGTCCATACCCCCATCTGGCCTGAAGCAATCATGAAGCTGAGGGTATTTCACAAAACTGTTTATGAGAGTGAAACAGAAATGGGGAGAACAAGTAATTGTCCACACGCAGCTTGTAGCCAAGATTACTTATTGTCAAAGTGCCATTAAAGCCAGAGTGTGAGTCAGGGTAAATGTGCACAGCGTGTCAGAATGTGAACACAGAAAATGTGCATTGGTTCAGCTCCAGAAGGATAATTTATACTGAGATTTCAAAGAGCTCTTTAGGTCCATTTAGCATCCCTGTGTTGGGACTGACAGCTTGTGAAGCAATTGCACTCTCGGGATATCATACTGGGATGAAACAGAAATTGGAATTTCGGCTCTATTTGCTATTGGCTGGGGAAGCTTAGGGCTATTTTCTGGGGGGGGGGGGGAAACTAGAGAAAAACCACCAGAGAATAAATGTAATACTCTTACTTTTCTTGTGTAGAAGACTTGACCTTATGTACTTCATCAGAGATAACTGTGGTCATCTGCCCTTGTTTGTGATGAGTTTTCTGTGTTTTAATTGTGATGTTTGCTTGGCCCTGGCTGCAGCAGAGCTGGAGCTGGCAGATGAGCAGGTGTCTTCAAGGGTCCCAGTGTGGATTCATCAGGTCACAGGCAAAAGGATCTGATTATCCCTGCTGAAAGAGGAAGCAATTTGCTCAGGGACCATGCCAGGGGCAGTCAGGTTTCAGGTCTGCAGTGGTAGCACATGCTTTTGGGTAGGCATGAGGAGTGGAGAGGTTTGGGTGTCTGGTGAGCACTGAATCTGGAGAGCAGTGATACTTCCTGGCACTCAGGGACTGGAGTCTTTATTTTCCTTTTACCTGATGATACATATGAAGACAGAATATTAAAATTAGCCAATAATCGGGAAAAAAAAAAGCAAATGGGGAAATAAGTGGAGCCAATAATCAGGGGGAAAAAAAAAGCAAATGGGGAAATAAGTGAGACAAACACATAATATAAAAACTCAGTGGAAATAAGACATCATAGGAAACAACTTGCAAACCTGTTCAAAGTCATTTTACATAAATGCATGGATGGGTGGATCAACAGATACATAGATAGATTGCACCAAGCCCATCTTCTCTAATCATTTTGATAAGGAACAGAGTTTACAGGGGGAGGTTTCACACTGAATGCACACCATTTTTCCCAGCCCTACTACATAACACTCAGAATAATTCATTTTACAGACAAGAGCAGAGGGCTGTTTGGCATGCTGCTAGCCCCTTGAATTAATTTTGGGATGCATGTGAACAAATCTGTCCAAAAGCATGAGTCACTGCTTATTTCCTAAGTCCAGGATCCAGATAAAGCCCTGAGGACTCAGAGAAAGACAACTAGGAGGAGCATCTGGCTATTACAGGACTCATCACAAAGGAACAGTGTGAAGAGAGAAATAAAAACGTGGGGTTTATCTTTCTCTATTTTATCTCTTCTTGTCAGTGAGCTTTGTAAGGTGTGACCCCAGGCTGGTGCTAATATCTGTCTATCCCTCCTGGTTTCCATGACCAGCACTAGTGTTTGTACCACATCTGGCAAGTACTTTTCAGCTCTCTTCTGCTTCTGCACTGAAGGGCCTAGCACAGCTTCTACATTTGTTGGGAATTATGGAGGTGCATGTTATGCATGTAGTTTTTAATCCTTCTTTTGAAGTGTTTATCTTATGAGAAGTCTGGTTATTTACATGATGCCTTCTGAGATTAATGTTCTGGAGCAACTGAGAAGAGCTTTCTTCTGCTAATAATCTCCTTGATAATTTATCACAGATGTTTCACTGGATGTAGAATCACAGCTTCACAAAACATCACCTAAAAATATGATTTCGGCAAATCTGGCCACTGCTTCTCTGCCCAGTTTTTATTTAATATCCATTCACAAAGGAAATATATGGTCATGGTCCTAATAACAGGATTCAATAAATGCTTCAGGTAGACACAATAGTAGTAAGTCAGAGAAATATCACAGAATACCATGGCCTGTATATGAAATAATATTGAAAATGCTATTGAAAATAACTGTCTTTAGATGCAGAAACACCTCTTGGCTGTCAAACAAGGGCATTTACTGCAGCATTAAAAACACCCCGTAAATGTTTCCTTGATCAGACTGATTAGTATCTGATATCAAATGCTAGTTCACAAGAACGTGCATGGCCAAATCTGGCCAATATTCATATATCTATCTGTGTTCACTGTGTCACCTGTCATAAGCACCCCTGTGCTATATGAGGAGCTGTGTTTTGAATTCCAGAGAATATGACAAGAACCCATGATAGGAAAAAAAAGGAAATTTAGCCACCTGTTTTTCTAGACATCGTAGGTAAGAAGACGGTGTGTTGTTGGCTACTCTTGGGAAAGGAAGTTAGTGTTGGTCTTTATCAGAAACTGTTATGAAACAAAGAATTAGAAACTTTGAATTGAAAGGTAGACATAATGCCTTATGTTTTATTTTACACATCACCTTTCAATGCTGTTTTTGCAGGGGAAAAGAGTTACAAACTTGAGATCACAGAAAATGTAAGCTAGGCTTTCTCCTGAGAGAGGCATTATACCAAGGTCATTTGTGGTTATTACACTCCCTAGATATCACTTTGCTGCCATGATTAATTTACAGTAACACCAGGTCACCAAATGAAGGTCGCCAATTCACGAGTAATCACGGGGTAACAGAGCCATCCATTTGGTGTTCTGGAAGGGTGCACTTGGCCCCGAGCTGATCCTGTACAAAGGACAGTTTTAATCAGGCCACATCAGGTAGAAACCAAGTGCTGTAGAAATGGGAAAATATTTATTAGATGGATGAATCTCTTTTTTTGAAAAAGCCATATTAAAAGTAATAATAATGGCTACTTCAAAGTGCCTTTTAGAGACATGCCCAGCAGGATTTCTCCATCATATCTGTATTCACAAAAGGACTTGAACATAATTTTATGTTTAAAGAACTAATGTCTTTTGCCAGATGTACAGAGACAGATTTTTGAAAGCTATTTAGGATCTAAAAAAGATTAAGACCAAACTTTAAAAATTTATCTTCCTCCCTATGTGCAATTAAATTCTTAACAACTGCTGATAACCTCTTCACTAATAGATGTTCTCCAGAAATTAATACATTTTCCCAAGAATGAGGCAATTCAGGCTTTAGTACTTAAACCAAGTCCAAGTTATTTGATCTTGAATAAGTGACTTTTACTGAAGTGAGAACAGTAACCAAATCTGGAAGTACTCTGGTGTTCAGAAGAAGAACCTTGAATTGCTCCAACAAGCTCAACCAAAGAACAGTAACCAAATCTGGAACTACTCTGGTGTTCAGAAGAAGAGCCTTGAATTGCTCCAACAAGCTCAACCAGCTCATTTCAACCAAACCATCTAAGAGATTGTGCCAATGCACTGTCATCCTGGTGCTCATGCTCACCAGGACTATAGACTTACTAGTATGTCTTAAGTCTCTGAAAGGCTGTAATCCGTGGAAGAGATGAGACCTGCATTCCTTTCTACAGGGAACCTATCACTCCTCCAAATACAATGAAGAAGAAATAGAATTATACCTGAGACAGAAAAAAAATAAACAGGAAGAAACAGAGAAAGGTAAAGTATGAAAGGAAAAATGAACACTATAATTTTCAACATCTAGCTCAAAACTATACAGTATGTCACCAAAATGAACAAAGGATAGCGTTTCAGCTGTCCTGAATTTCTCTTCTCCTGCCACATATATGGGAATGCCTACTTCCTTGGCAGAGAGCCTTTTATTCCTGGTGAAATTGAGGTGGGAAGAAGGACTCACCAGTTCAGTGCTTGCCCTGAAAAAGTTGCTGACTGCTGACCAGCAAGGCTTGCAGTGAGAATCAGTTGAATGTCCTTTACCCTGGAGGAGGGCACTGTTTAGCACCACTAGTGAGTGTGTGAATAAACCACTTCTCAGTAAGTGTGAAAATTGCCTATTCTTAATTGATGGCTCAAGTTTATTTTTGCGTCTTGCTTCCAACAAACTGGCAGATGAGCCATTTTCTCCTTCTCCTTCTGTCTCCTCAAGCTTTCCTCCAAGATGGAGGGGAAAGAAAAAAAACCCAAGCAGAAAATATCCTGTGGGGATTACCTCCCAAGCAAACAATCAGATGAAGTGATCTAGTTAGCCAAACAAGCCAATTTTCCACTGCAGTTATCTTTCTGGACCAGATGTGCCTGCCTACCCCCAGCCCAGCCTGAGTAAGCCTGTGCTGTATTTTATACTGTATTGCCTACAATTCTGTGTAGCTGGAAAAGTTCCAGTACTGCCTAGGTGGCATGCTCCAGTTGTACTGTAAGCAGCTGCTGTGGCAGCAAAATATGGAGAATGCTGCCCTTTAAGGCAGATGTCTTTTAAAAGTCAGGAGATTCCTCTTCTTTTTTTCTTTTGTTTTTGGTGAGGGTCATATCTGCAGCCCTTATATAAATAACCTGAAAGACTCATCAGTCATTTTTAGACTTGAAAAGGAAGCAGACACCCTGGAACGTTAGCTGGTTTTTAAAAAAAAAATATAAAATAAAATCAAAAGTGGTTTTAAATAGGCTTTGTGGTACTTGGCTATGATGTGCCAAAAGACATCTTTGCTGTGTCTGCTGAGACAAGCAAGAACTGTGGAAAGGCTAAGAGGAACAGAAAGCATTAATATTTTAGAAAACAATGTAAATTACACTAAAATCCTGATGTAGCTGAGCAAGGAACTAACAGCAGAAAACAAACAGTATTGTTCAGCTTCTCTATACTCAGAGGGCCACAAAAGCCTATTTTTTTATTTTTTTGCTAGGAGGATGCAAAGAACAGACACTGATTCAGGTTGGCACTTCTTTTCATTTATAATGGGCATACAGTTCTCGTAATGGCCAGGCCTACAAAGAGATCATTAACAAGAGCAGAAGCAGCAGCAAAGCTTAAAATTCACAAGAGTGTCTCCACTTACAGAACTGCAGCAAAAGCAGCTGTGTTGAACAACTTTGCCCAGCCAGCAACAAATCTGTCAAAAAGTGGTCCCAAGACGTGGCTTCCTATTCGGTGTGACTTAACCCTACCCCACACACATCAAAATGCTTTTGTCAGAACATGTGCCAGGCTGCCTCTCCCAGGCTGTCACTCACAAACACCTTGGGCTGCATGTTCCCATATCTGCATCAGTCCTTTAAGAAAGGAAAACAATTCAAATATATTTACATTCAATATAGGCTTTTTTGACTTATTTTTCCCCCTTAAGGAAGCAGTGCAGTAATGGGGGCAGAATCCATCTTCACACTCAGACATGCAAATTCATGTACTTAAATATGGGTGAGGCAATAAAGAGTGTGTTGCCTTTGCAAGAGTAGTAACATTGGAGACTCTCCAGCATGTCTGAGATTAGGACACTACCTCCCAGCTGGACCAGAGGCTGGGCTAGAACCGCTTGAGCATTTTTAAACTCACCAATGTTAAGGTGCCTTAAGAGACCCTCAATATCCTGTCAGTGCACTCAGAGTGGCAGTTTTCCACTACCCGAACACACTTATCTATTGCTATGTGAGATGGTTTAAATCGTCAAGACACCTTCATGGAGCTGGCAAATTAGACCCTGGACATGCAGGATGTTCAGACCCTACTGGAGTGGCAGCACGACACCAAGCAGCTATGCCCCTGGCTAAAGTGGCACTCAAGACTCAATCCAGTTGCCTAAGGAAAGACACATGGTATAATTTTAGATGCCCCAGATGTCCAAGACCTCCCCCCTCAAGCCTGCAGATACAATCCAGAAAGCTTCACCTTTCAGAGCTAATGATGAGAAGAGGAGGAACAACCAAGAGCATTCAAATGGCACCAGATGTCTGTGTTTATGCAAGTAAATCCCAGCAGATGAAATATAATGAACTAGTCATTTGGCCAAAGGCACGTGGGACTCCCAACAGCTGTCCCCGCTCCACTGACGAATAGACTCCTGACTAGCTGTGACTAGATCTTGTGTTGACTAGATCTGGTGAGAGTGGGACTCTGCTTATATGCAGACACTTGCATTAAAACATACAAGTTGCTGTATCTATATAAACCTAAAGAAGAATTATAATTCTTTTGCTCTTACATCCTAAATGCCAAGGGAATTTAGGTATCCACCTAACTGTTAGGCAATCATAAGGCAATGGATTTCTTGTGAGCTACATCCAGTATGGCTCTCCTACACACCTAGGTGAGGTACACTGGACTGTTCTTCTGAGAGGTTAAGCCCTTCCATGCCAAGAATGCTTTGGAGATCACCAGATCCTAGGCAGATACTGCAGAGTGTGTGGCAGTTTGACAAAATCGCTTCTTACAACACAATGGGCTGGACCATTTAAAGTTAGATGGTCTTCAGAGGGACATCAGATCCACACTGGTCACAGTGCAAAATATAAGCCTTGCTGAAAAGCACACACCAGAGCACTCTCTAATTGCTTTTAGTCAGTACATTCTTTTATTATTGATGATAAGGCAAAATGAAATCAAACAGAAATCAGTCAAAGAAAGCCCATGAGCTGCTGTTCAGAGCCAGCCATAGTTTCTCATGGACAGCTCACAATAAAGAGCAGCTAACTTTCATAAACAAGAAAATCAATCCATGTGAATGTTCAGCAATTTCAGATCACTTCTAGCTGCTAACAGCTATGACCATTGTTGTGGACAAGATACTCTTTGAGCCAGTAGGGCAATTCTTACATTCTTGCTGTTTTTAATCAACTGTACCTTGAAATCACTGATTTACTTCTAGGCTGAGTAATTTATCTGCAGCAGCCATTTCATTTGTAGAGACGTGTGACAGATGGAGATGCAGTTCCTTTGCAGCCCAGAGCATCCCTGCCTGCCAAGGTCTCCATCCTGCTGCCTCCAGGCAGCTCTGCAGAATTATTTCCTATTCTGTCTTTCGTGATTCATAACACTGTGGTTTGCAGACCTCCATGTTAGAGGAGGTGGCTCTATATTCTCACCATAGTAAGCCTGACCACAGGAGCCTGGATGGGATCCCCGTAAAGTTTTTATTTCTCATCATGGTGAAACAACAAGACATGCAGTTTGAGGCTGGTGATTTTTGGCAGTCATGCTTTGTTCTTATATGTTCACACTCCCCCAGGATTATTCTCATTCAAGCTTTCGAAGGCCACTGCTGACAAATGAGCCTCATCTTGCAAAGCGAGGGCCTATTACGATGAGACTAAACCCTTCCTTGGTGCAGCAAAGCAGCTGCCATTTTGTGAGCCTCCAGAAGCAATGCAAAACTTGTTTTCCCTTAACCATGACTTCAGAAGAGAACATCCTTTTTTTCTCCCTTACTTTCACATTTATTTTTAACATTCATTTCTTTTTCCAGACCAATATGAACAATGCTGTTTTCAATGCCAAATTTGAATACCAGTAGAGAATTGGGCAGGCACAAGTGAGAGTGATGTGAAACACTCCTAAACTATATTTGGTACCAGGCGTTGTGCAAGTTTATAAGTAGGCTAGACTGTGCTATCATTACTTACTTTCTGAGCATATACACACACAAGTCCCACAAAGATCAGTAGGATAGCCTGGTATGCAAACTAATTACAAAATAGATCATATCCATATAGAGAATGTAAACAAAGGGTAGATCTGCCCCAAATCCCTTGCAGCCTAAATATGAGACAAAGATAGTAGGTAAAGACAGATGAGAGAACAGAGAAGCAGTGATACACTATTTTCTCAGGGTACCATCCCAGCACGGAGAAATAATGTCGACCCTTTATCAGCATGGCAGCTGTAAAATGCACAGATAATTTTTAACAGAGATTCAGAGCAGGAAAAAAGTTAGCTTTGCAGACACCTATAAGGAGAGTTTCCTGAGGACAGAGAGCAGCAGGGGACAAAGCATGCATGTTTCACAAAGGGTCATGAAGATTTTTACTATAGGGTGATTGGAGGCTTGGATTGCTTTTAGTAGGGGAGAGATACCTGCAAATGCACACTTGCATTTGTTGAGGTCAGAGAAAGAAATGCTGCAGTAATCAAGAAATTATAAAGTAAGAGCCTGAATAAAAGACTCAGATGTGTGGGTGGATAGGAAATACCAAACCTTAAATGTTATGCAGTCACATGAGAGGTGCAAGTATAGCCTGTTTATAAGGAATAAGGACCAAATCTAAGAGAATACTGGAGTTTGGCAAACTCTCAATTCAGTTTATGGGCCTGGATGTCCTATAGTCTGGAGATTTTGCTCATGGTGGTCTAAAACAGGGATGTATGAAAGAATTGGGGAAGAAAATTACTAAGTGCTTCCTTTAAACAGGGAAAACCACGATGCCTCAAGATAGGTTTCTAAACTATCTCAGAACAACAAATATGCTATATATAACAAAAGAGTTCATATTTTGTAAGCATAAAGAAATAAAACCAGAAGAATGCACTGTTAGATGCTTAATTTACTGTGTAAGCATTCATGTCAGTAGAGGATATGAACATGCAGTGACTTACTGCTGGCTTGTGAACTTCCAAAGTTCACACAGTCAGTGTACTTGCTGGGGAGTAGGTGGAGAGTTAAGAGGCTGAAAAACTTAAATCCTTTCTGCTCTCCATGCAGCTGAGCTACAAAGAAGATCCTTCAGAGTTAGTAAAATAAAAAACTATATTTTTAAATGATTTCACTGAATCTGTTTAAGAACTGGGTATTGAATTGCATAGCACATCATTTACTGTACAGTGTTTTATTACTGCATTTCAAGCTAATTGTTCATCCTGCTATATAGATACTTGCCTGAGATTATGAATGATGGCTTGACAAACCAGATCAACAATCCAGAAGTAGATGTGGACATCACAAGGCCAGACACTTTCATTAGACAACAAATCATGGCCCTACGTGTCATGACTAACAAACTGAAGAACGCGTATAATGGAAATGACGTCAACTTCCAGGATACAAGTAAGAAACCATTATCTGTCATTACATAAGTACATTTTTTGGAACACATTTATAAATTGGTTCTGTTGCAATGACTTTCTTCTTTCTGGTCTTTGTGCTCTGTGCTGCTGACAACATAAAAAGCCTTTTTCTGTCCTATGAAATTCCAGTTATATAACTGTTTCTTTTGCTGCTCTTACTTAGCTTCATGTCTAGTACATTAGGACACCGAGGGCTTTCAAGAGTCCACTCCTTTTTCAGAAGAGCATTTAATCACCTATATAAGTCACACTGGCTTTCATTTGAATGCTTGACTGCATGAAATTTAGTATCACCAACACTTTCCCATTCCTGATGTTTTCATCCCCACTGGGGTGCCAGGTGGAATGGGAATGGAGACAAGGGATGAAAGATGTAACCTTTGGTCCTCATGTTGTTTCCCTCACTCCTTTGTGCCAGGTGACGAAACCAGTGGCTCGGGCAGTGGAAGTGGCTGTACAGATGACATCTGTCCCACCGAGTTTGACTTCATCACCACTGAAGCTCCACCTGTTGACTCGGACAGGAGGGAGGTGGAGGCTTCAGCCACACAGCCTGGCTGGTCACTGCAGACATTGGTCATCATCTTAATCAGTCTCCTACTACAGAGACAGTGGAGATAATCCTGGATCTGGTCAGAGAAACTGTTTTAGCTACAGAAACAGCCAACTTGCTTCTTTTCTTATAATCTTGGACAATGGACCATGTCACAAACACTTGCAGTTTTCTACAAGAGAGCAGTACTGCAACCTGCTTCCCATTTTAGTTTTCCCAAAGAGTACCAGGTGCCAGAGTGAACTGCTTCCTGCTTTTTTCAGATATCTCTGAAGACAATATCCACTCTTGAGAGAATTCTTTCTCAAACCTTTATTACAGGAGACTTTCTGAGCTTCATTTCCTTTTATGCTGCAAAAGGGAAAAAGGATCTTACAGTGTGTTTTTCCCCAATGAGAAAAAAAAGAGGGGGGAAGAAACCAAGAAAACAGTTTTCTTTCTGAATCAGGCCTGACTGAAGGCTGCTGCATCTCAACAGAATATCAACAAAACAAAAAAAAAAAAGACAAGAAAGGAACAAAAAAAAATGCAACCGTTCTTCACTGACAACCAGGTTTCCTTTAGGAACTTCTGTAGGATGATTCAGATCATCAGAATGATCATTGTTATAGGGAGGAAGGCTGGATTTTTTTGTTCCAACACAAAAGTAGGTCTCAACAGTGAATGTCTTGCACTCCATCTGCCAACCACATCCGATTGGTATGAAGGTAGAGAAGCTGAAAAATAAGTTTATCTTTTAGTATGGTAGTAACTCCACTAGCTTCAGAATATCATGTTACAGTCGTTTAGGATTTAAATCTTAATGCCCAGTAAAAATATTAGTAGTAGCATGGTTTCACCTAGTTTCTTTTAGGATTTGTCCATGTTATACAATTGGCACAGTTTTCCACTTATTTCACCACCGTGATCCCATCAGCCATGGTGGTAATGTTAAACAACGCTCTTGACTCCTCAAGGGTTCAGACAGAAAATAATCTCTTGTGATATAATCTGTTTCCTTTTGTCACTGTTCTGACATTGATTAGAACTTTCTGCTACGATGTTCATTATCCTACCAAGATGGCAATTCTCTAATGGACTAACAGCAACGGGATCAATAGTGTGTTTCACACCTAACTACATCTTTCATATCAGTTCATTTCAGTGTCACAAGGATTTCTTCTACAAAATTTCAGAACAAACAAATATATAGTACTGACATGGAGATTTCTTTCACTTTTTTAGTCTTAGTATGATCATCTATTTTTATATATATAAATATATATAAATCACAGATTTTAACTTCTTAATTATAAGCTCAGGGTTGACACTTCTTTGTAAGAAAAAAAAACCCGTTTGGTCAACCAGCTCTTCTTTTTTGTGCTGCTCTGAAAAGCAACCCTTTAATGACTGGTGAGCATGAAAATCAAAGAAGAGAATTTTTTACATATCCAGTTGTCCATTTCTTAACAAGTTTGCAGGATGGGGGAGAAAACCTCTTTCATGTGTGTATTTGGGGGGGGGCATGTAAGTTTGTGTCATAGGCCTAGAGAAGGACACAGATGTTAATTGTGATGGCAGTTGTACTCTCAGATCCTTCAAGGATACACTGCTTTAATAATCATTGCCTAGATGACCATGGTCCTGGATAAAGTTTCCCTAATTTGCATCTGGTCATAAGACCCAAGATGGAAGCTGTCTAAATCCTGGACAGATGAGTGTCAACAATTAGACATCAGAATCTTCCCTCTTTCATCTGCTACAGAAAAAGGACTTGTGGGACAATTCTACATGGTGTTGAAATGATTTACCAGAAATTTATTTCCTGATTCTTATGATGGTGACTCTGGAAATGGTACAGACAAATTGTGGTAACAATGTAAACCAGCCAACCACATTACAATTTAACAGCAGAGCAGGTAGATCACATCCATTGCAATTACTTTTTCTTGTCAAATTATAATTAGCTATCGATTTAGGCATGAAATTAAAGTAGAAAACACACAGCACGTTAGGGTAAAGTATACTTAAGCACTTTTACCAAAATGTATTTACAAGCTATTTATATAGAATGCCTAATAACAAAAAGCATAGGTTTTGAGCCACTTGTATTCCATTCTTTTTTTTCCCTGTTTGCTTGTTTACTTCAAAGCATAATGATAGCATGCTATCGATTTAGGCATGAAATTAAAGTAGAAAACACACAGCACGTTAGGGTAAAGTATACTTAAGCACTTTTACCAAAATGTATTTACAAGCTATTTATATAGAATGCCTAATAACAAAAAGCATAGGTTTTGAGCCACTTGTATTCCATTCTTTTTTTTCCCTGTTTGCTTGTTTACTTCAAAGCATAATGATAGCATCATAGAATCATAGCATAGAATTCAGGTTGCTCAGGGCCCCATCCAACCTGGCCCTGACAGGTGGTCCATACTTCCAGGCCTAGACTAGTGTACACAAGTCACCGTCTAAGTGTTCAGATCACACAGTTCTTAAACCATCCATAGCAATGCTTCCCACTTTTCCACTGCTTCTCCCTGGAGCAGATCTTGTGATTCAGCCTTTACTGTCTCCAGGAAATTTAAGCAAATTCTCATAATTATTTTTTTATTTTGCCCTGGTAGAGCAGGTACCCAGCAGAGGGTCTTTGCTCATAATTTTTTTCCTGAACAAGCACATGCAGCTTTCTACAAGGAGAACCCTTTAAAATTCTCCCCTGGACCATGTCTTTCTACCCATATCCACATCCTTTTTATGCTTCTCCCCCTCAGAAACGTTTTTCAGGAGAAGTTGAGAGTTATTTCATGCTAGCCTCAGCTCACATGTAGGTGATCTGATGACTGTTTTCAGCTGGTGCAGCCATAGTACGTATCCAGGGTGCTCTCAGCTATTTGTAGACCTCCATGGGCTTTTGGACAAGGAGTAAGAGTGATCCTTAAGACCTAGAGGGTTTGCTGAAGGCTGTTCTCATTCAGGAAACTTGTGGCAAGGGCCCTGCTCTGCTTGGACTGGATCTTACAAACTGCCGCTCCAACAAATCAGCCTAATCTTTGCCAAAACGTAATTGTCTTGAGGGAGTTCTGCCAGAAATTTATGCCTTCCATGTTATTATTTCTCCTATTTTCCTACTATCCGTTGTGATAACTTGTCAGGAGATGGAGATGCCTTTGTGTGAGGTATCGTGCATACATTTCATTAATAGTCCCTAAACGTCTCTTCATACATTGCATTTTTCTGAGATTAAGAGAGCTATTAAATCTACAGGGCAAATGAAATTGGGAATGAAGGAAAGGAAAGAAAGAGCATTCATGTTCATAAATGTAAAAATCTACATAATTTCCAGTGTTTCTATTTGCACATCCTTTACATCCAGTAACTCTTCTTCTAAGGTAATTTTTCGGTGTGCCACAATTTAAATATTTCTCTTCTGTCAGCAGCCAATAAAGTAACAAATGATAAAGAAGACAATTATCTGTGCAAGAAAGAGGAGCTAAGTCCTATGGAAAAGTCCTTTGATTGTGTAAACCATTTATGCTGTGCAATCCAGAAGTGCTTGATGTTTTATGTTCCTTTGAAGAAGAGACTAATAAAAAAATAGATGCATTTAATTACATAACCAGTGCTGCAGACCCCTGTGAGGTTTTTCTTTTTAAAATTACCTGAATTGCTTTAGCATTATCCCCTAATTTTCAGTGTTCATTGTACTGCAGATTTTTCTACTGACAACTCAGTACAAAGTACTGTAACTGCAGTGCAGACTATCTGAACTCTGGGCAAACTTAGGCATTTAAAAAAAAAAAAAAGTCAATCAGAAAAAAAATGAAAAAAGAGGGTAGAGATTTCCTGCAAAAGAGGAGGAGGAGAGGAACCTGTGCCTCAGCGTTCTGGTATGGCATGATCTATCCCAATTCCCCAAGAGGCATTGCAGACCTCTGTCCATGTAGAGCTCCCAAAATCTTAGTCTCAGATGTGCAAATTGTCCCAGTTCTGTAGGATTTTTAGGCAGGATGATTCCCATAGATGTGTGAACCAGTTTGAGCTGCTTCCATGCAAAATGGCTTTACTGTGCACATTGCTGTGCACTGGAACAGATTGCCCAGAGAGGTTGTGGAGTCTCCCTCACTGGAGATATTCAGGAACCGTTTGGACGCAATCCTGTGCCACGTGCTCTGGGATGACCCTGCCTGAGCAGGGAGGTTGGGCCAGATGACCCACTGTGGTCCCTTCCAACCTTACCCATTCTGTGATTCTGTGAGCTAGGGCTGTTCTTGGGAGGTGAACTGCATGTGCAGTGTCTCAGCAGGCAGCAGTTGCCTTCAGTTTACTGACTCTGAAGCAATATCAAATGTAACTATACTTATTCACTGAGACTTTATTACTTAAACATGAAAAATAAATTACAGCACTGATGCAAATTGTGGTTTTTTGTTTTTAATTTGCTTCCAAAATAATCCATTAAAACCGAATACAGAAATTTTTAGAACGATTGTGCAGGTTTCTACAGATTTTATTGTGGATATTAAGAAGAAATCCACATTTCAAAGACCACAAAACTATTTATCCTATTAAACCACAAAAGTTCAAACCTGCTAGAGGATAGATTTAACAACAGTGGAATATTATATAAAATTGCAAACCCCATGATTTCAAATGGAAATTCAACAGTTAAAGGCTAAGTCTTAGTGTTAGGGCTGAGATTATGTCATCAAAACATAATAGACTCAGCCATGCCTCCTTTCAAGAAAATTAGGGCAGGTGATGCACCAAACATGGCAATGTTTCCATTACAGCTACTCAGATGGACTGTGAAGATCACATTAACATGTGTCATAATTCCCCTTTTTTGATATAATTATTATAAAGACCAGAGTACCATGGTAATAGGGCACATGAAAGATAAATGTTATGATAGTAACCATTTTCCCTTTTGTTAAACAGTACAGGAGACCTAATGGAGAACAGAGAACTTTGAAATTGATTTTTAAACTAAAATTCTAGCATCGGGCAAGAGTGATGGACTCAAATTAACTCAGTCAGAACATTTTCAAACAATCTATCCTATTCAAATCTGCTGACCAATATAACC